TTTCATGCAGAAGATATTAAATAAATATCTTAGAAGTCACTTGGTTGCTACATGTGTTTTTTTACTTAAACATATTTATTAAGGAATTGAGTCTTTGTCACAAACTCTAATTTTCTAATCCCTAATATTATAATGTTGTAGACCTTAAACATTTCAAACTATGGATTCTGTTATATAACAAATCTAAGTTTGGAATATCAAAGGTTTACGCCTTCAGGTTGCAAAGATGAAGGCATTAGAATAATGATTTTGTGGCAAAGACTCAGTTCCTTCTATAAAATTATCAGGATATTTTCATGTCAACCACTAAATAAGTTTGTTGCCTTTCACTAAATTTCAGTGTATTCAAATCTTATTTTGGGGAAACAAAAGGTATTTGTTACTATTTAGATTTCAAAAAATTTGGGAAAAAATTAGTCTCAAGACTAAGCTGTCATTGAGACTACTAAGGCTCGAGTCTTGAGATATATCGGGACTAATTTTTCTATTTAGTCTAATTTAAAAATCGTTAAATCACATCGACAAAACTAACCAAGTCGGATCTAAACTTCGGATTGAGATAATGGAAATTTGGTTAGTTAGCTAAACTGATCTGAGAGACCTATTTACAAGATGTGAATGAAGAAAGTGTAACATTTAACATTTTCTGATTAAATCTGATTGCATTATAGTAAACAATGGTTGGTTGGATGAGAAGCAGATTAAAACTGAAGATTAGAAAGTAGGTATGGGCACAGTTTTGTCAAATTGTTGGACGATTTTAAACTTTTTTGCTTTCAGGACCGTGCTCTTGAAAAATCCGAAGTCCGATGTTTAATCAGTTTTTTTTGCAGCATTTGCTATTTTTCCTGCCTCTGATCTAGGTTATTAACAAAAACGATTTTTCAAAACGATTTAAAAATAATTTTGGTTCAAATATTTGGCCAGAGAGAAAATGTTGCCTTATGTAATAAAAGCAAAATGGAATTGGATATAAATATATATATATATATAGAAGATCGTCATGAGCCGTGAAACATTATGTTTAGTTTAATTCTTTTTTAATAAAATGTAAAGTTTAAACACTGAAATATATTTGTTAAAAAATTAAAGAAAGCTCTAATGTTTAAAAGATGGCCATCTCTAATTAGAGAGAAAGGAGAAGGGGACCACCAGCATCTACAATGTACAAACCTATATTTACTGAATGAAACTTAGTTTAGCCATTTTCTTGTTGGTCCAGTAAAACACAGAATAATGTCATCTCTATCTACCTATTTTTTTATCTGCTGGTTTTGGTTTGCATGTACATACCCGAAAACGTCAAAACGGCTGAACCGATTCAGGCCGAAACTCACGGTTACATGGCTCCAAGAAAGGTTTAGGTTTATTGCTGCTTGATATAGAAAACTGTTTAAACAATAGATTTAAAAATTTTTGTGAAAATCCACCAATTAAAAAAGGGAAATTCCCGTAATCTTTCAATAATATTATTATTAAATGTACAAAAAAGAAGAGGAAACGATTGACAGCTGTCGCACGGCCCCCCCCCCCTATCAAAATATGATAACCCCTCCCATCCTCGGCCCGGCCCTATCGTTTATCAAGTCTAGTTTAACTATTTGATAAAAACCTGGTGTAATGTAAACCCTTGAAAGAATTTGTATTTATTACTGATCCTAATCTCAACCCAATCAAAGGAAGAAAAGGAATAAAAAGCAACCAATATCTTGCCATGAATCTGAACTCAAGGAATCAAACCCCTTTTTGTCCCAGAACCCTCTCCTCTGTATTCTGTAATTAGGTTGAATACAAAACATTATCTTAAAAGTTGGATCTAAAGAATTTTGTAATATTGATGGCTCCATGTTTGTTTATGACAGTATGTGTAATAGGTGCATGTCAGGGGTTTATATTTTCTAAATAAAAAATGTTTCCTCTTCAAAAATAAATTTTACTCCCATTTTGTCAAGAATCTTTTTATTTTCTTTTAATGCAAAATTGGGGAAAATACATGAGTTCTAAAGGGACTGTAAAGGAAAAATTAAAAGGGTATAGGATGAAACCTGAGAATCTCAGGCGTTGAACTATACATATCAGAGATCTATCTGATGTTCATGTCAAGAGAACATCTGTGTCAAAACTGTGTCAAAATTATACAATTTTGTATAAAAGTAGTAGGTTTAAACAGATCATATTCAGCAAATACGAACCAACCTGAAAACGATTATGGAATTATAAACCCCCTAGACAGATATCTGAATCCCTCCAGTGGAATTATAAACCCCTAGGAAGGATATCTGAATCCCCACAGTGGAATTATAAACCACTAGGAAGGATATCTGAATCCCTCCAGTGGAATTAAAAACTCCATGGATAATTGGATATAAATCTGAATCCCTACAGAGGATTTATAAACTCCCTGGATATACATCTTAATCCCTACAGTGGATTTATTAACTCCCTGGATATACATCTGAATCCCTACAGTGGATTTATTAACTCCCTGGATAGTGGATATACATCTGAATCCCTACAGAGGATTTATTAACTCCCTGGATATACATCTGAATCCCTACAGTGGATTTATTAACTCCCTGGATTATACATCTGAATCCCTACAGTGGATTTATTAACTCCCTGGATATACATCTGAATCCCTACACAGGATTTATTAACTCCCTGGGTATACATCTGATTCCCTCCAGTGGATTTATAAGCTCCCTGGATATACATCTGATTCCCTCCAGTGGATTTATAAACTCCCTGGATATACATCTGATTCCCTACAGTGGATTTATTAACTCCCTGGATATACATCTGAATCCCTACAGTGGATTTATAAATTCCCTGGATATACATCTGAATCCCTACAGTGGATTTATTAACTCCCTGGATATACATCTGAATCTCAACAGTGAAAATGAATTCCCTTCCGGTGGTCTCCAAGTCCAGTGGAGTCAAAATCTTACTACGAACTTCCCTGACTCGCAAATTCTCAACTAATTCAGAGAAAATTAAATTTCTTATGGCATTGATAGTTAAAAGAATTGAATTAAAAGGGGCAACGTAAGTTGTCATGCGTTTATTAATGAAAAACTAAATTTTTCATGATTCAAATTTAAAGGGTAACCTAGTTGTTTCCAATGATTTTTTTCCACCCAAAAACAAAGATTTCGTTTTTTGTTCATGGTAAATGGCATCCAACGAAGTATAATAAGTAACTCTCGAAATGCTTCAATGTACAGAAAAGGTCGTCTCCTAAGACAGATAGATCAAAACCTAGTAGGACTTTACTCTCGCCTCTATAATCAGTGATGTCATATCAAATTTTTATTTATCTATCTTATAAGAGACATTTCCATTTGTTATCCTTCAAGACGACATTTTGCCTCGTCATTTCTGTGAAATTCAACCTCTAGAATCTATCCCCGGCCTCTAAACATCAAATTTGACAACCTCAGTCCTAAGCGGAAGTAAATACGCGGCCGTAGTATCCGGAGCTGAGAACAGGACGGGAGTTTTCCCGTCCTCGGGGATTTTCCCGCGGGATTGTAGGAGTTGCATGGCAGGGGAAATAAGGAAAGCTCGTCAGAAATCTACGGCTTTTATAATTTAGGGAATACAACTTTCTCCCTATGATATAAATTAATCACTAACGTCATGACCAGTTTAAAGCGGGCAGTCCTCTTATTTTGTTCGAACCTAACCCATGACATCTAGTACTTCTCTCATGGCAGGGGCGTACTCAGACATTTATCCAGGGGGTAGGGCTTACATTTTTACGAGAGGGTGAGGGGGGGATCAGCACCCATTTGGGCCCGAAAACCCTGGAAATCATAGATTTCACTGATCCAGAGGGGACTGATCCCCCTTGTATACCCCTGAAAACTATTTACATTAAAGCTATTTACATAAAGATTACAAGAGTGGAGTATAAATAGTAATTTATATTTCTGAAATAAATATTTTCATAGATATACGAGATGTTCCAATAAACATGAGAATAAGAAGGACGACTTTACGACGTATTAGATTTACAAATATTAAAGGCGTGATAAAAAAATGCGTAATCCTCCCGGTATTTCAGACCAATCACTAAAATGCTATGTTTATTGAAACATACTGGGCTCAAATAATAAATAATATGATATTGTAACTCTAAACTTAAAATATAAAATTAATAAAACAACCGAAAAAGGGTGTCCCAATAAGCATGGGAATTAAGTGACGACTTTAATATATCGTCTTCGATACACAAAATAGAATATATTTAATAAGTCAAAATTGTCTTAATATTTGATATCTTTGTCAAATTTTAAGACTCGAGAAAAGTAGACACCTTTATGAAAAGCTCGTAAGACGTACAGCCTCATTTTATACCATGCCTTAAATATCAGAAATCGAAGACGACTTTCATGTCGTCTCTCAATTATGATAATGAAAAGAAGTTTGAAATACAGAGTTATCAACAAAGAGTAAGAATTCAGAGACTAGACTATATCATATATGGAGTTTCTTTACAAGTCTGTTTCCTTATAATCACGATTTCATGCAACTGAAAACTTATTTCTTTCTTTGCTAGATCATTTAATAAGCGTTTAAAATAGTATCTTGTTAGTCAGAAGACCAACTCAACCAGTAATCAGGGAGTGTCATATTATCTGAGTTCAGCTTATCATCTTATTCTTTGTGGGTAACCCTGTATTAAGGATTTTTTTGATATTACGTCATGTTATCCCTTCTTAATTTAACGTCTTTAACTCTTTAAAAAGACCATAATTTCATATGAAAGGGACTATTGGCGTAATTACAACTGACCCTAAATTTAAAGTGTTACATTACCCAATTCTCAAGTTTACAACTGTACACTTTAGCTATCTAATGATTATCAATAAGGAATATATCGTTGTTTTTCTAGATAAATTCTATACATTTATTTAAATTTTCTAGATAAATTTTCTAAATATATTTAAATTTTCTAGATAAATTCTATAAATTTATTTAAATTTTCTAGATAAATTCTCTAAGTATAGAGAATTGAAAATAATCATTTTCATATAGAAAAACAAGGAAGACACGTTATTTATAATAAGAAAATGATTATTGATAGCTTTGTGAAATTAATATGTTTCTTAAAATGTCGGGTTCCTTGATTTTACGTCGACAGAACCCCTTGAAGAAGAGATTTCATAGATTTTATGATCAGTCTTATTTTGTAGATCTTCTAAAATCCAAGGTGAAAGTTTCAGGTCGTCATTAAAAGTCAAATCTTCAATTTTGTTTTGTTCTATTTTAATGTTCTGATCAATGATCTGGTCAATGATCTTCCATTCCAATGATCTGGTCAATGATCTTTCATTCCAATGATCTGATCAATGATCTTCCATTCCAATGATCTGGTCAATGATCTTTCATACAAATTTGATCTGATCAATGATCTTCCATTCCAATGATCTGATAAATGATCGTCCATTCCAATGTTCTGATTAATGATCTTCCTTTCCAATGATCTGATAAATGATCGTCCATTCCAATGATCTGATCAATGAATTTTCAATTCCAATGATCTTCCATTCCAATGTTCTGATCAATGATCTTCCATTCCAATGTCCTGATCAATGAACTTCCATTTCAATGATCTGATCAATGATCTTCCTCTTCAATGATCTGATCAATGATCTTCCATACCAATGATCTTCCATAAATCATTGAACTTGTTGGTAACCCATGTTATCAACTGCTGTTCGTTTGTAGTCAACTCTGAAAATATAAAAATGGGTCACAGGGATAACAAGAAAACTCTAACATAGGAAGACGACTTTTAGAATCAAGTTATAACTTTAAAATGTCCAAAGGGCATGAGATGCGACACAGCAATTGTGCAAAGTAAATAGACCCATATCATTAAATTAGTGATTTAGAAGTGTATAAAGTAGAACTATTTGCTATGTTACAACATCAAATACATTTAAGTAGTGATAAAATGTCGTCTTTCTATTCCATTGTTTTCTGGTCATCACTGTAACTAACGTTTTTTTCCAAGCTTTTAAAACCCCATTTAGGGAGAAAGTGACGATATTTGATGTAAAAAAATTAGGTTCAGTTGTAAATGGAAAAATATTGGCCCTTCTGATCTGATAGATATTTTAGTGAGCTTCTAACAAATATTATATAAGCATAAAAAAATGCTTGCAAACCTTAATAAACTGCGCATGGTATCATAAACCAGTTTTATCAACTGGGGTAATTTTCCACTGAACATTTTTTGGCCTATAATTGGGTTTTCACTGCATCAACGGTCATATCATTGCGAAAATATTTTATGTTTAGGAATTTAATGTTTAAACCAAGCAACTGTACTGCAGCTATTAATTAATTTCAATTTAATATAGATCTGTTTCATTTTCAACTCGCCGGGGTCCAACAGCCCTCTTTCTTTAGATACAAAGGACCCTATTACATTGAGTAATACAGTAAGAACCAAAGAACTGTGGAATAGGCAGACGACATTTAAGTAAGAATTAAGAGTATTTATTGTTGTAACAAAGCAAATAGTTTGATAATAACTTATTAGATCACTTATTACGAGAAATGGGTCACATGTTTATTAGCCTATTTAAAGTAAAAAACTTGAATATAAAAGTCGTCTTCCTATTCCAGAGTTTTCTGGTTCTCACTGTAGAAATACACCTAATATTTTAGTTCAATTATACAAAATCCAGCAAATGTGCATTGTACACGGACCCATTTCAACTTGTTTTACAGCAACATCAAATACACATAAAATTGATTGCATGTCGTCTTTATATTCCACAGTTGTATCGGTCTTACTGTATTACTATTCTGATAATTTGAAAGTTACCTAATCAACGCAAAGAAAGGCAGGGCAAGAAAACAAGAGATCGGCAGAACATAATCCAACCAGGAGGTTCCTAAACACAAGTCAAAATTTTAAAATTGAATATCGAAAAATTTATAAAGTTTTAAACATTGATTGAGTCTAGGTAAAAGAATTATATTTGAGTCAATTCCGGAATTTTTTGCCCGATGTTTTGCCGATTTTTATTATTTTCGTTTCCCTAAAATAAATTTTGGCGATATTTAAGTTAGGCTGCCATTACCAATATACTGATATTAAACCTTACCTAAAGCTGGAATATTAAATAAGGAAAGTAAGACGACAGTACTGATATTAAACCTTACCTAAACCTGGAATATTAAATAAGGAAAGGAAGAAGACACTACTGATGTTAAACCTTACCTAAACCTGGAATATTAAATAAGGAAAGGAAGACGACATTACTGATATTAAACCTTACCTAAACCTGGAACATTAAATAAGAAAAGGAAGACGACAGTACTGATATTAAACCTTACCTAAACCTGGAATATTAAATAAGAAAAGGAAGACGACAGTACTGATATTAAACCTTACCTAAACCTGGAATATTAAATAAGAAAAGGAAGACGACAGTACTGATATTAAACCTTACCTAAACCTGGAATATTAAATAAGAAAAGGAAGACGACAGTACTGATATTAAACCTTACCTAAACCTGGAATATTAAATAAGAAAAGGAAGACGACAGTACTGATATTAAACCTTACCTAAACCTGGAATATTAAATAAGGAAAGGAAAACGACACTACTGATGTTAAACCAAATGGAGATCCAACCCCCCACCACGCATTCAGCTGCAGGATAACAAACCTAGAACAAAAATTAATTGTGATTGTTTGATATGAAAAGCGCATCTCATTTTCGTTTGTATCTTGTATATGTTTTAGAAATTTTTAAATCATACCCAATTTTCTATAAAACTATTGATGAATAACCATGGGTTTGTCATTTTTATAAAACTAAAGAAGCTTACGGTAAGCATTTTGATTATAAAATAAAAACTAGAGGAGTTATGAGGTCTAAAAATCGTAAAAATAATTCAATAAACAAATATTAAATATCTTCTTTACATTGAGATTTTGTTCATTATTTTGTACATTGTTAAAAATATTTTGGATTGATAGAAATTATTACAATAAAAAGTCTAAAAGCTGGAATTTTTAGAATTTTAAAAAATGGCTACCTCCATTGCCAATTCCATAGAAAGTGGCATACTTGCCACCACGAGACTACTCCCGGCTAGTAGAAGCAAAAATACTAGAACAAAATAATCATTAACACATTTGAATTTGATTAATGTTAAAATGAAAGTAAGGAAATACAGCAAAAACCAGAAAAAAGTGGCTCATTGGTATGATAAATAAATATCAATTTGTAATTTTCAATGGAAACATTTCTAAAAAAAATACGTTAACATTTTTGAAAATGTATCAGTTACAATAATTGTAAATTACAATATTCTAAGCAAAGTAAAAATAAGAAAAATACAACTTTGAATCCACATTTTCTGAGTTATTAATAATTTGTCTGATTAATCCTTTTAATCTTTTTTAAGCTTTCTTTGAACCTGTATCATGAGTCTTGAGTCTCTAAAAGTAAACCCTAAGAGCTTCCAAAAAAAAACTTTTATTTTTACTACAAAACGATGCGTTTTTTTTATAACTGTTAAGAAAGTTCACTAAATTTGCGAGGTTGCAACTTTTTGCGTTCAAATTTGTTTCCTTACTTCAATTTTTGTTTATGGCTTTTTAATTATAATTTTAAGAGTTTAAATTTATATAAAAGGTGTTCTTATAAAATGAGTTTTGATGAGTTAAATAAAATAATTGTTTAAATGATTTTGTCTAGTAACATTTTATACTGGGACTTGAAGAAATACGGGTCTTGAGACATTTCATAAAAAGAAATTCTAAAAAAAAAAAATCATATAACTATACATATAAACATTTAATAATTAGGACATTTCATAAATCGGATATTTCATAGATAAAGACATTTCATAGATAAAGACATTTCACAGACAGAAAATTTCATACAGTGAAACCCTTAATAACGAATACATCGAAAGAATTCATCAAATGTCGTCATCTTCACTTTCTGATAATGGAATGTTGCAGATATTTAGTTTTTTAATTAAATGATTATATGGAACTCTTTAAAACTGTTCCCGCATATTCATGGCTATTTATTTATTTTCGCAAATACTAAAATTTACGCAATATAGTATAAAACTCATTGAAAAATTGTCAAGTCGACATTTGAGAAATTCTTTCGATGTATTCGTTATTAAGGGTTTCACTGTAGATAAAGACATTTCATATATAAAGACGTTTCATAGATAAAGACATTTCATAGATAAAGACGTTTCATAGATAAAGACATTTTATAGATACAGACATTTCATAGAAAAAAAGGAAATGATTTACCTTATTATTTATTTTCGCAAATACTAAAAATTACGCAATATAGTATAAAACTCATTGAAAAATTGTCAAGACGACATTTGATAAATTCTTCCGATGTATTCGTTATTAAGGGTTTCACTGTAGATAAAGACATTTCATAGATAAAGACATTTTATAGATACAGACATTTCATAGAAAAAAAGGAAATGATTTACCTTGTCCAAGAAAAATAAATTTTTTGTCTGTAAAAATGGTCTGTTCATATAAATTCTTGTCTTTTCAATTAAACGCGCATTTTTTCTAATAGTTTTCTTCCATGACCTTCTTTCATATGCATAGATTAATTTCCTGCTCAGATTTAATAATAATTAAATGTTTTTAAATGTCAGGTTTTCTCTACAAAAGTTACTTGCGCATTTCTACTGCAGGTTGATACACATATGTAATAATTTATTGATCAGATAAAGGTTTCAAGGTTACCGTTGTGAATCGGGCATTACCATCTTTGCATGAAGGGTCACTTAAAATTACTCATACAGTCTCTTTAAACATAAATTTGATTTTGATCACTATTTAAATATTAGAAATTTATGAAATGAGATAAAACCTACCTGATATCTCAAGGTTGACTAAATGCTTGAATTTGAAGACCCCTATGGAGATGAGCGCCAGGAATGTGAATATTATTCCAGCTACAGAGAGTAGAACCATGATCACCAGCTTTAAGTGTCCTAAACAGTTTCAGTTTACTTTATATATACAGTGATATTCTTGAGAAAACGGAATTTTTATAACAATTTAGAACACGTGGAAGTCGTCTTTGATCAGGTGATTAATTTTTGTTTAGCAATAATCACAAAATAACCCAAATCCTGCAATTTCCAAAATGTGGTTTGTCTTTTTGCTTTTTTCATAATTACCGAATTTGTGAATATATGAATAATTTCGTTCTGAATTACACAATTTAGTTTTTTAATTAATAGTCTAAGCTTGAAATATATACAAAAGTTTAACAGATTAAGCAATTTCAGGCCCCCTCCCTCAAGTTTTCTTATACTAGCGATAAGACGAGCGATGGAGAACGAAGATGATTTTTTACTCGTCACCTGTTAATTAAAAAATCTAACGAAAGACTTTTATTTGCTAGAAATGAAATGAAGGCGAAAGAACCGAATTTTAAATTTTTAACGAAACTGAAAAACGCACAATTAATATATATATATATTAATATCAAGTTACCCTCCAGCTAAAGTTATAGCGGTCCTCTTAAAAGCTTTGTTTTACTGTTTATTTTCAACTGTGGCTTCTCTTCAAAAGTGACTTGCGCATAGCTTGCTTCGGAAACAATGGAGAAATTATCAGAATTTAGCAACGATATCTTCCACATTATTGATCAGATTTAGGGTTCCGTTGTGAATCGGACATTCCCTTTTTTAAATAAGGAGTTACTTTAAATTACAACGACAACCTTTTTTAGTTGTTTTGATTAAATAAATGTTTTCCTAACACTGGGAGGGTGCTGGGGTGTGGATGGAAAGTAAATAACGGCGAGGATAAAAAACAGGCCGGCAGGAATAGCCTAAAATAATAAAATATTACAAAAAAGTTTTAACCAGGTGTAAAGCAATCTCAAACAAACCTTGACAAAACATAAACAGCCAGAGCCTGAATTTAAAGAATTTGAGCCGCGGCTTAAATTTGAGACGCGGCTCAAATATGGTTGGTTCCACTTAAAATTGATATTAATGTTTCAAGACTTAAGCCGGCGCTCAATTGGAACCGGTTTTTGACGGATTTAGGATGCGGCTCAAATTCATTAAATTCGGACTCAGTCAGTTTGGAGAATGAATTTTATGAATTGGAGAGGCCGGTCGTATATTCAAATTCTTAAAATTTGGTCACAGGGTAAAAAGATATTTCAAAAAAACTTTTTATGAGAGATAATTACAAACTTGTACATTATTATTTTAATAGTATTACAGTATTCCAAATTTTCCCAGTTTTGGGATTCTTGGGTCCTCGGAACCCTCCCCTGGGGGGGGGGAGGAGGAGGGGGAGACCCCAACCCAACATTTATTTTTGATATTTTAAAAATAATTGATATTGGACGTAGTACGTACATTCGTCTTAAATTTAATATCTCAGCATGCTGACACTGAACCCCCATGAACAATAATAATAATGAAATAATAATCCTTGCAAGTTTTCTAGAATTTGCAATCTCAGTAGGTTTGTAAATTGTTTAATGTTGATGACTTTAAAATATAGATCTGTATACAATTAAGGGGGTATATAGATATATTTCGATAAAAAAATGTATCAGTCCTGAAACATAAAAGAAATAAACAAAAATAGTAAAAATAATTTAAGCATTGTTCTAATCTTGAATTCAACAAACAAACAAAAAAAGATAGCAATCAGTTTCAAGTCATTTGGCCCTGTCTCATTTGTCTCATTTGATTTTTTTAAATGATTTGAAATGGGTTTCATGAATCTGAAATTTCAAAGAAAATTTTCAATACTCTGTTGGCTCAAAATACATACTTCGAATGAGCTTAAACTTTAACTGAAAGTAAAAACTGATCCACACACTGTGTATGTACATAGCATACCTGTGCGTACATGTACAATTGTATATCTAGCTTCATTTCATCCACAATCTAAAGCAAATAAATAAAAACATTTGGAAAATTTCAAAGAAATTTAATCTTTGTCCCAAAACTCGATTTTTCTAATTTCTACATCTTTTCAACCTGATGGCGTAAACCATTGATATTTCAAAATTAGATGAGAATTTATTTCTACGAAATATAAAAGGTCGACGAAATCGGGTTGTAAAGATAATAATGAGTTTCATCTAGAACTACAACCTTATAAATCTTGTATTAGGAGGTATTCCATGTGTCTTGTTTCTAAAGATATCTATAGGAGTAACTATATTTACCGCTGCACTGGTGGTATTTCACGTGTCTTGTTTCTATAAACATCTATAGGAGTAACTATATTTACCGCTGGCGGTATACCTTGTGTCTTGTTTCTATAAACATCTATAGGAGTAACTATATTTACCTCTGGTGATATTCCATGTGTCTTGTTTCTATAAACATCTATAGGAGTAACTATATTTACCGCTGGAGGTATTCCATGTGTCTTGTTTCTATAAACATCTATAGGAGTAACTATCTGACTTGCCAGTAAAAATGACATTCCTGTTCCAAGTCCGTTAAACACCTAGTAAAAGGAAGTTACCAATAGTTTCGAAGAAAATGATTTTCTTATAACTTTTTTTTGCACCCCAATGTCGCGGACTTCAGATATTTTAAATCATTAATTCTGTGCAATCAAATAATCTAAGCTTAAAATATCTAAGGTTTACACCATCAGGATTGAAAGCTAGATTTGATTTGAGTAAGGCGTAGTTCTTTTACATTGTAAAGAAACTTGCAATCTGATATCTTCCATTGCTATGGCCAAAGATAATAGAATATATTCTATTCTCTTTAGCTATGGCTTATATAAGATAAATATAGAAGGTTGATTTTTAACTGATAGAGGTTGCAATACATACTTGCAATATATACCTTTGGGTTGGTTGCAGTATACACCTATGGGAGGTTGCAGTTTACACCTTTGGGAGGTTGCCATATATACTAATGGAAGGTTGCAGTTTTCAAATATGGCAGGTTGCCATATATACTAATGGGAGGTTGCAATAGAAACCTATGGGAGGTTACAGTTTACGCCTATGGAAGGTTGCAATATATACTTATGGGAGGTTGCAATTCTTACCTGAGCTACCGATGTTGCTGTAATTCTTTCTTCAGCTGGGAACCAAGCAGAGGATAACACTGGAAACAAAAAGTTTGTTTTTTTTAAATTTTGTTTTCACATGCACAAATAAGCATATTTGGAGGCTTCCAATTTTTTAGGCTTTCTGAGATTTTGCTTCAAAATATTCAAAAAAAGAAATATTGAAATAGAAAAAATAGTAAATTTTGATGCATAAATATATGAAATTTCTTTCGGAACATTAGACTTTGTAAATGTTATTTTTACAATGCACAAAAACAAATTTTTATATTTTCTAGAAATATTTAGTTTTAGGTTATAAATCGTCGCAAACCAAATATCAATAAATAAAATAATTTTTAATAATGAAGTACGCTTTAAACCTTTTTAAATAATGCAGTACTCTTTAAACCTTTTTTAGTATTTTTACACTGTAATATTTAATTGTTAGCAGGCACAAATAAGAATCTTGATATTCGGCTAGCTTTCTACTATTTTTAACTATTTAGCTTCAAAATGTTCAAAAACAAAATAATTGATAAAGAAAAAAATTGAATATTCAATAGTGGCTGAGCCCGCGATTTAAAAAATTCGAGAAAATACGGTTCGGGTCTAAGCTGTCGTTGTGCCTTGTTTGCTGCTTGAGCTTTCGGCTTCAAGCTGCATCTTAGTTTCCACAGAGTTGTCAAATAATTAGCGTAATATTGTATTTGGCGGACTTTCACGGTAGGAATTGACGCATTCCGGGTTTTATGAGAACAATACTAAACATTGAGCTTTATTCTCTACTAAAATCAGACAAGGTCGGTTTTATTTGCATTGGGCCTAACTCCTTAAGTCAAGCCGAAGATCTTGCAGCTGTCAATCACGTGACACAAGCTGTCGTCAGAGTTGGGTCGAAGATTGGGTCTTAAAGTCGGGTTTAAGGAATTACGGCTCGAGCCGAAGTTTTTAAATCGCGAGCTCAGTACAGGTTGACCATTTTTGGTATTTTTCATCTTAAGTTTATTTCATTTTTTATCAGACACAAATAAAAATCTCTATATTTGGTTGACGACCAGTTATTTTTAAAATTTTTGAGAATTAAAAATATTGACTAAAGATTAAAAGCAATTATGGTTAAAGTTTATAAAATTAAAGGGAGTGTTCAAGAAAATCACAGGGGCAAGGGGGTAAACTCAAGTTTAATTCAATATCTATTTATTTCAATCTGTTTTTCATTTGATGTTTTAGTGTTGATAAAATTGTAAAATCAGAGGCCGAAAACAAAGAATTTAAACCACGTTGCTGAACCACCAAATACCGGTTCCAATTGAGAATCAATGAAATATTCTGGTCATAGGAAACTATTATGTAAATTATCAAAATCATCAAAATTCAATGCTTTTATCCTCCTCGGATACCAGACGAACACTGATGCATCTATTCTTGTTTACAAATTTCGCCCAGAGAGAACTGGTTTCAGTATGTACGCAGAGTATACGCAACTCCAATTAACTTTCCTTGTGTACCATCTTCTTCTGTACTGTGCCTGTACTACACATCTTCCTTGTATTATTTACAGTTAACACGCATGTACCACTTAAAATTGCGGAAGAAGTGGATATGGTACCCAAAGGCGTATTCAAGGGGGGGGGGCTGGGGCTCAGCAGCCCCTGGACCAGTGAAATTTATGGATTCCAGGGGGTTTTCAGCCCCCAACGGGTGCCATGGACAAATTCCTGATTACGTCCCATACGGTACAGTACAACTTTTAAGGATCCAAAGAAGAAGAAGAAGTACTGTCTTTTATGTGAAATTATGTAAATGTATATTTATAAACCAATTAATAAAATTGTTGAAAATACAAATGAAAATTTTATGCATTATAGATTTTTTCTGTACGGGATATTATACATGTTTAACATAATTTTTAACTTTTTAGAAACTATATACAAATGTCTGTACAATTTAAATTTAAAATGTTCTTTAAAATTTATGAATGAAAAATTAAAAGTAAAGACAAGGTAACAAAAAGAAAGAGATTAAACTATTTTGGATGTTCTGTACTGTACTGTACTGTACTGTACTGTACTGTACTGTACTGTAATGCATTCAGAAAATAACTTTTAAATTTGAAAGATGAATTAAAGTAAAAAACAAAAATGAAAAAGAATTATTATAGATGTAATGTATTTTCAGAAGTTTCTCGGTAATACATATGTAAAGCTTTAAATAAGCAAAAAATTTAAAGTAAATTTTTTTTAAATCAACGTAAAAACTCTGTTAATGAATAAAAAATGTATCTAATAAATTAAAAAGTAAGTAAGTAAACAAAAATGAATGTAAATAGACAAAAAGAATGTAAAAGTATATTAAAATATTGTAAATATATAATTTAAAAAAATTAAAAATGAAATGGTAATTTTAAATAAATGAAGATAAATATACAATAAATGAAAAAAAATGTAAATAATTTAAATGAAAAGTAAAAAAAAATATTATAAATGAAAAAAGAATTTAAATAAATGAAAAATAAATATACGTACATAACTGAAAATATATGAAAATAACTGAAAAATATATGAAAATAACTAAAAAACATATGCAAATAACTGAAAAATAGATGCAAATAACTCAAAAATAAATGTAAATAACTGAAACATATATGCAAATAACTGGAAAATATATTTATATAACTGAGAAATATATGTCAATAACTGAAAAATATATGTAAATAACTGAAAAATATATGTAAATAACTGAAAATAAATAAAAAATGAATGAAATTAAATATACCTGTAAAGCAGCGGGGAGGATTCTGCCATATTAACTGAAAACTTAATTATTTTTGAAACAGATGTTGTTTTCAACTTAAAGGAATTGTTCACGTAGGATTAAAATTCTTAAAATGTCAAAATTTTGACCATTTTCTTGTTGGCCTTTGATATAAAAACCCCAATCATCAATATTCCGATAAAGATTTGAAGGGTATCATTATGATTACTTAAAAAGGNTACAACAGTACACTTTCAACCTTCGCCTGAACAAACAAAAATCAGGAAAATGTGGGCGATTTCTTAATTATCAAAAGTAGAATTTTGGCAATATCTTTCTTTTTCTCTGTTGAATATATTCGACATTCAACATTAATCAGACAATGATTTAAAGGTTATCTTTTTGAATGGAAGATCCCTCTGTAAATGGAGGCCCACTTGAAATTACGTCTACAGTATTGGCCCACCAAGCAGCACTTTGTCTTTAACTATAAAAATTAGCTTTTTTTAAGCCTTCGTACATTAACTTTACCATTTTCATGTTTATAACAAAAAGATTCTGGTCTTGAATTAAAAAAGTACATATTTCAGTTTAGGCATAAAATTCAACAAATTTTTACAATGATTAATTTTTTCGTAAATAACAATTTTTTAACTGATTTCATTCGTGAACATAATTCATAGTTAATCTTTTTTAAACTTTATTGTAGTTTAACAAAGCTTTACCCATCCCTACTTGGTTTAAACTGGATAAGGCTGGATCTATGGATAAGTAAACTCAGCTGACCTGGATTTCAAGAGACAGTGTCAAAATTCATAGATTACAATTCTTATAGTTTTTAGAAGATATTCTTTTGATACAGGGAGAACTAGAAACAATTAGAGAATAGAATATATATATATATTCTATTCTCTTTGACTAGAAAGCTATGGAATGTATGTTGTCTCTGTTCTTCCATTTACTGAAACAAATATCGCTGAGGATTGTGTAATGTACAATTATAGCAACTGATAAATCTTCATACTTAAAGACACTTCAAAATTAAAAGAAAACATCTTCATATGGTTTTCTGAATTCCACTTTATCACCAGTCAAAACGACACATTTGTGCTAAAAGGCATAATTCTCTATTGTGTTAATATTTATTGTAAATATATCTATTCATTATATATTCATTTAACTTATTTATATTCATCAACATTTAAATAATCAACAAAGGAAATAGCGCATGTTTTTTTGAATCAGTTACCATTTTTTTTCTTCTTCGTTAAAGAAATTAGCGCTAACATATCAATTGTAAAAACGGTAAAAATTATAATAATTTTACATTAAAATTTCGAAAATCTAAAATTCATTCGTAGATTAACCCAGATAAGCTTCGTGACAGAATTTTGAATAATTCAAACTATAACTTTTGCACATGTATTGGTCCAGCAAACCATTAAAATTAAACAATATTTAAACTTTTAAAACTTATTGAACTCAAACTTCTCTAGCAACAAATTCTTCAAGAAAATGTTATTGTCCCTCCATTATTTTTCTAGTATTCTCACAAGCTGTGTGATTCATAATTGTATAAATACATTAAGTAGTAATCTCTGTTTGTTTGTATGTCCGAAATTTGATTTGGAACACGGTGGAACCACGAAGATGTTTCTAACCTGCAGTTCAACAATTCTAAGTTGTGTATATATTCTATGGGGGGGGGGGGAGCTGGATTTTGAAATTCTAAATCATTAGCAAAAATACTTCTTTTTTTCAAACGTCTTTTCTGAGAAACAAGTAATCAGACCCACGTAATTTACTGCAAGACTAAAATCTTTAATGTTTTCAACCATAACCTCAATTATGGAAGAGTTAAGAAAAAAAGTGGATAAATTTATTATTCTCATATTTATGTGTAAAATTAAAACCAAAAAAGATACGAGGTCACAAAGTGAGACCAGTAATGTCCCATAATGTATAGTTTGCAGTGAATGCAGGACTAATATCAAGTAAACCTCCATTTCAACAAAAGCCCCGATTCATAACGGTGCTTTTAAACCTTTATCTTTTAAACCTTTATCTTTTAAACCTTTATCTTTTAATTCTTTATCTTTTAAACCTTTATCTTTTAATCCTTTATCTTTTAAACCTTTATCTTTTAAACCTTTATCTTTTAATCCTTTATCTTTTAAACCTTTATCTTTTAAACCTTTATCTTTTAA